CTTAAACGTGTCCCTTATTCTCCTCAATTGATTTTTGACTGGCTGCCCCTTCGTTCCACAAATTCTCTCCCTTCTGGGTTTATCCATAAATTCTTCTCTCTGTTGGTCCCCTTTTATTTCTAAACTTGCCTCTTGCGCGGCGCGCAAAGCGTTTCTTTACACCCAAGCGCCTTCTATTTTAAATTCGCCCGATTCTCGATCACTGCGGTCACGCGTGGGGTGGAGCTTCGCATTCCGCTCTTTCTCCCCTCGACCGTGTTCAACGTAAGGCCATCCGGCTGATCGACGAACCGTCTTTGACTTCCAACCTGTAGTCGCTTTCCCATCGCCGGGCAGCTGCTTCGTTATCTCCTTTCTATCGTTCCTATTTTGGATTCTGCTCTTCTGAACTAGCCTCAGTGGTTTCCCTCCCATTGACCTTTTCCCGTCCATCTCATTCTCAGGCGGGTAGTCACCCTTATCACGTTTCTGTCTCCAAATATCGGACTTCCATCTTCTTTTTTCTCGAAGACTGTGAAATTGTGGAACATTCTTCCCATTTCCGTGCTCCCAAGCACTTATAACCTTACTCTTTTCAAAAGTAGGATTAACAAACTGATTGTTACTTGAATGTTCCACCACATACCTCCCCGTTGCAGTATATCATTGATTATGTGGTTTACCCCTTATGCTGTAAATCACTTCATGTGTAATCAAAAGAGTGGTGCTACTGGATTAGATTGGATCAATTACTAATCTCACTCGAACTGGAGACGTAGTTAGGAAATTCTACCTCCTAGACAACTACATCGATTCGGACTAACGAATCTCGGATGGGGTTTCTGCACGCATACAGATGTCTCACTTGGACATTTTTTTATCATTTTATTGTTTCACATCAGTATATGAGGATCAGCTCAACGATTTTACTCCACTATAATGAAGATTCACGGTTTGCTCAAAATAGCTCCTAGTCTAATACCTCGGAGTGGCGAACCATCGGCGTGAAACTGGACAACAGCTAATTTCTCCACGACCAGATCCTACTTTTCTCTTCGTTCCGGCATCTGACTGTCCTTGAGGATTTGTGATTATGAATGGATAGGGCCTCGGCAGATGTGATTAACTTTGTGAAGGGTCTAATGTATATTGCAGTGGTTCGACCGGCTTTGCAGTATGATTCAGAAAAATGACTGTTACGCGGAGACAAACGTAAAGTGTGGGAACCGACAGAATAACTACTAGGTTCGGTAACACTTTTGTCACATTGCCAGTTGTCTTAATTGTTGTTTGCTAGCTAACGAAGAAAGGCTCAATATATGCGCCCATGGACGATTTTTGAGTCGGTTTGCTGTTAAAGAAAAACATGAGTAAAACAATCAAAAGAGAATCCTAAATGACTAATAGCGATTCTAAGATGACCTCAGCCCCGCCACCGCTACCCGACTTTGGTGGTAGGCAGCTCTGCTGTCGTCCGNCGCCTAACCTATCGGGGCCTTATGTGGTTGGCCACTCCAAGTTCCGGGGTTTAGGTTGCCGATTTCAACCACTGAACAGCAGGTCCTCGTGACTATGGGGTTTACCCCGTCTGCGGTTCATCACACCTAGGTGTGTAATAAAAAAAATAAAGCTCAAATGGCCTTAATCCGCTAAGCAACTACGTTTCGTAAACGGGACGCAAAAGTGCTTTTAGATCCCACTAGGCTAGAGAAATCACACACAACAGCCACACGATCCTGAATTCAATAGGAGCTTATGCCCTCGTAAGCAGTATCACATAGTCGAAAATGACTCATGGGAAGCCGTTATTTGACCCACCAAACGAACGGAACATTTTGATTGCGAAAATGCCGAAAATTTAAGTAGATGAAAGTTCTGCCGTGAAAAGCGAGCGGGGGGGCAAGTAGTTCGTAGAACAGCAAGAAACACCCCCACGATATCGAAATATATATACAGACGCTTTCTGCTATTTACACGGATGCAGCAAGACCGAAGACCTCAGTGAATTTGAAAACCTCTGTTAGGAGGACAGAAAATATACCGTCACGCACGTCACAACTTCAGTGCTATAAGCTGATAACACACCCACAACTGCCATTCAAAAGAGAACGTCACTTGGAGTGACCAATGGAGTGCAGTAATCTTCAGCGGTGAGAATGAGTTTTATGTGGATGGCCCCAGTGGCTTTTCTAACGCTTGCCGCGACTTGCACGAAGAGCCAAAAGAGTACATTTCCAAGGCGGTTAGCAGTCGCTTAACCAGTTTTATCAACAAACAATAAATGAATCAAACAGGTGATAACTTACGAGGGTGCAATTCGAACACCATTGTCTAACTGAATCAGATTCATCGCATGCGACGAGATCAGTCGCATGTTCTCCTCCTCCCATGCTTCAACGCCGCTAGCGCGTTCTTCCACCAGTATGGCCGATTCTGCACGTTGTATGGCATTGATAGCAGCAGCGAGTCGTGCAGGTAAATTTAAGTCCTTCAAGTGTGATAAATCATCCTTCGGTGAATCTGCTGACGGCGATGATAGCTCCAAACGATGCGCTTCGGGAAAAACAATGAGCGCCCAGTGTTCAGTTATGGTGTAACGTTCCTGTGGAAGCTCAAAGCCACCAGGAACACCCAGAGCCACCTTAGTAGGACGTGTTTCAGCAGAGGGGTCTGTGGAACGAGAATGCATGCAGCGAGCAACGTTGAAGTGAGCGAATAAAAGAATCAGTTGTCGAGTGGATCGGGTTTTAATACAAATGCGATGAAGTGAGGAATGTGTATTGTATCCAATACAATGAAAATTGTGGGTATGCGAAAGGATTATCTGTGATCGAATATATATATATATATATATATATATATATATATATATATATATATANNNATGCCCGTATATCAGGCAGCGGCAAGAACTGCGAAACCGGCCGTGTACTTACAGGGAAATTTGGTTGAAACATTCATTCTTTGATTCCTATATCCCGTTTCTCGTGTCATTATTAGATGAAAATCTTCGCTTCATTGTACGGCGAAATACAGTGAAGCAAACTTCACTGACCGCTGCCAAAGCGGTGATTTCAATCATGCATTTCTCCCCTGTTTTTGTTTGGTCTGTTTGACCTTTGCCATTCTTCTACCAGAGGTAGTTCTGTGCTGGGCAGACTGATCACAAAACTTCCCAACTTCAAGTGAGTAATGGAGGATGTGATTCAATGTCTAAGGTAAATTCGTCGTGTCTATAGCAAATGAAGTGTGAACTGAAAAGTTAGGAAGCACTGGACAGCTGTTTCGACCTGGCTGGGTCTCATCAGCAGTGCGAATCCATCGACCCAACTGGGGATCGAACCCGGGACCTCATGGGCAGAACGCAAGCATGTTACCCACTCGGCCACCGGGCAGCTGATCAGACCGCTTTTCCTTTTCCATCCCAACTTATTCTCTCGCAAACTAATGGCCCCGGTTTCTACCAGCGACTATAGTATTCTTGTCAGACCAAAGGTATACTCTTGTACAGCTTATCAAGCATTCATACGTTCTACTCAGATAAGATTTCATCTAAGGGACTTTTCACCCAACCGTATCTCTCTTCTCAACCGTTCTGCTGCGGTTGCTCAGTCTTGGTTTGATTTTTTTGCATCGCCTTTTAAATGTATTGGTCTGTTCACTGAAACGATTAAATCGATCTAACTTGTGTTGTCCAATGGAAAACCTGAGTATCTGTAACGGCAGAATTACCTCACCCTTTTTGAAATCACCGAGAAGGCAGAAAGAAATGGCCTATAAATCTCATCATGCATTAATTGCAAAACACTATTCTGAACAATTATTTTCGGATATTCCTAGTCATACTCTTACTTATCATATAGTGAGAAAAATTCTTACATAATGATAGCCATTGGCTCAATTTAAGGTCGTTAATGCATTAAATGCAATCTTCGCTGCCCAAATTCTTTGAACAAAGAACGCCAAGCTTTTATGCAAGGTATTCGCCTTCTCTGTGGGCAGAACAGAAAACACTCAAGTACTTCTGTGGACGTCAACAGCATTAACGCCACCTTCATCCGCCCGTCAAATGAGAGGCTGATTGCCTTATTCCCATGCAATGAATCCCATTCAGTGATTTTTCCAATGATTTAATCTTTATGCTTCTTCGATCCTGCAAAGCATCCTCAGCTGCAGGCCCTGATGGTCTTCCTCCGGCACTTATCAAATTTGGAGCAACTTCCCTAACCAATATGATGACATCCGTTATCAATGAGTTCCTATCGCCCTGATTGATTCCCGATTCCTGATGTTGAGTGACTTTTATTCGAACCCCCAAATCCTCATCATCATCTGTTCATGCGAAACGGTTTCGTCCTGTCGGACCGACCTCAGCGGCTCTAAAGTTGACTGGAAAAACTATCCTGAGTCGGTTGCAGTCGATCACTAGACTTCCTTACGACACCCTTCAGTCTGCATATAAGCCAGATCTACACTGAACGTCATATACACTCTAATGCACTTTATCATCAAGTCATTGAACAATTCAACCAAGTCTGCCCGTTGTGTTTTTCTTGACTATTCGTCTGCGTTTGATTCTGTTTCCCGANTCCCGATCATCCCTTCTTTTCAAACTTGAATCTTTTGGCACTTCAAGATAGCTGCTGCTGCTGCTCTCATGGCTTGGCAACTGGTTCACAGGATCCAGTGCACCAAACTAGGAATGAGGACATCGAAACCTTTCGTTAATTATTCTGATGTTCTTCAAAGTGTTGTTCTATCTCCATATCTTTTATTGCGTTTATTAGTGATCTTTCGGTCTAACCCTCTGCGTAGATCTAAAAGTATGCTGATGAAATCGTTTTGTCAGACAATTTCACTCTTTTGCTGAAAATCTATTCCACATCCAAAAGTTTTCGGATCAATCTGGTCTGTCTTAACATAAGTGCGTAGAGTGTGTTTTCAGTTTTTCTCGCTGCTCATTTTCAACGGAATCTGCTACCCTTAACGGTAAACCATTTATCCAGAATGACCTCAGTCAAGTACCTGGGTGTCACCATAGACAGCAATCTTCATTGGTCTACACATATTTACCACTATGTGGGAAAACTGAGACGTCTATCTTTTCAGTTACGCAAACTCAGGTGATTCCGAGCCCCACAGTCAGTCCGGTCTTCTTTCGTTAACCAATGTGTTTTACCTATTCTACTCTATTGCTCCCTTGTAGTGTTTCCCGGTCTTTTAAAACAAGACTTCAAAACAATTCGCCGTGGTTTGATGATCATCAGTCGCGCATCAATAATCCCAATCGATTTATTAATTACAGAACTCATTGATGGTCACATCAACTCTTGTGTTAAATTTGCCTATAAGATTTTAGATTGTATTGTATTCAAGCCTTAGCGAGTTATGTACAGGCCTTCATCCACTGCACCTTGATCTATCGTCTTGTTCCCATCCATCCACACGATAGTCATTTCGGCATCTACCCTCTCACATTAACAGTTATAAAAATCCCCTACCCATACCCTACCTGCCCTAACTTCTTAAGAAAAAGGAACAGGTCCCAAGTGAACTACGTCAAAAGTTTTGTACATGAAACAAATTTCAGCAACATTCTTTACCTTTCGTGTTATATTTCAATATTACTATTGCATTCCGCGTGACGAAGTGTACATTTTTAACTGAAATGTAAGTGCATATGCTTACACAAGTTACAAATACAAACACAAAATATACTAATTATTGTGAAATATTCAAAAAAGACGCTTAAGTCATCTTTATTGTGGTTAGTAGTAACTAACACACTTGCAAAACATCGAATCAGTACTGATTCATAAATGGACTGGTTCTGAAAGAGCCGAACACAAATTTACCCAGTAATGGAAACGATGTCACTGTTATAAGTATAAATAAACAAATACACGTGTAAAAGGTACTGGGTTTTCACTTGGCAAGCGTTTGTCTCTGAAAATCTCAGTATGGTCGGGGATGACTGTCTCGCATTGTCACCTTTGCACATTGCGAAATGATCCCATACGCCCCAGCGTCTCAAATAGCTTCTGCTACCTGTTCGTGGCGGTGCCTTCCCGTCAAAGTAAAAGGACGAAAAGCCAATGTCCGGGACTGTACACAGGTCGGTGAACCACTGGCAGTTCACCAAGGGATTTGTCTAAAACCCGGATTCCAAACTAACCAAGAAGAGGTGTACGACTCACACTCACCCACACCTTGGTTGTGGCTGTGGTCACCCGCTCGATTGGGCATCGAGGTGTTTGGGCACCTTGGACGTTTAGCCCCGCCCGAAGGGAGTATGATCCGATGAACTGGACACCAGCTCCCAGTGGATTATGGTTTTCACGCTGCCGCGCTGCCTTGCGGGTCAGGCTTCGGCTCGCCAAAGGCTCCGGTTGTGAACTCCCTAAAAAACTTGTGTTCCGGCCTGGACTGTCGTTTCCTCAAGCGAATCATGGAGCTTTCTCTTTTTTATAAAGATTACTGTAACGTGATTTGTTTGGTACAATCTGGCTTTAGGCGTGTGAAATATATGATAACCGGATAATGCATACCTGACTAGCGGCTAGGACCGTGAAACCGGTAGTGCGCTTCTGGGAAATATGGTGGTCGGCAGCTGTCGTCACCCGGCTCACTACCACGCCTGATCGGTTAGAACCTTATGCGGTCCAGCACTCTGAGTCTCACGATCGTGGTTGCCAGTTTGCTTTTAATAACATCAACATGACAACACGAAATTACGCTTGCTCCAAGCGTTCGAAATGCAATGGCGTACTCATTACCCTCATTGCCATTCGCGGACTGAACAGCAGCATTAATTCTGTGCACCAACTCCTCCACTCTTCTTCTTTTCTCGTCCTTTTTCAAGAGAAACACAAATCCCCCCCCGGTCGTCATACACCCGTCCACCTTCAAGTACCCAACTACACTTCCCACTCCTCGTTTCCACCCAAAGCTGGTGTCTGCGTCTTTATACACCAATCAGTCGTCGCCTCCAGAATCCCAAGGCTTGACTTGTCGAATCGTGAACTTCAGCGAATGTGGCTGAAGCTCCGAATTCCTTCCTTCAACCATTGGTTTTGTGTTCTATAGCGTTCCCCCAATAGTGGCGATCCTCCATATCTGATCTTTATCTTCGAACATCGAACACTTGCTTGCAACGGACCCCAACTGTCGCGTCGCCATCTTGGGAGATTGTGACATTCATAATCAGGAATGGTTGAGACATTCATCTATTACTACTTCTTTGGAGTGCGAAGCTGAAGATTTCGCTTGGGCCAACAACCTGAACCAATTATTTAACCTCCCCATACGTGTTTCTGATCAAGCTGGTGATTGTGCCCACACTTTCGACCTAATTCTCACTTGGACCCCGTCTTTCTTCTCATATATTTGTACTCCCTCTCCTCTTGGTTCATCGGATCACTGAATTGTTTCTTGCTATGTTCGGTTTATTAGCCCCAATCCATCACCCATCTCGAGACACACGTTCTGGCGCTACAACTCAGCCAAATGGGACGGTTCCCGTGATTTCCTATCCTCTTATCCATGGAACGATTGTTGTTTCTTTTTGGAAGCTTTCAAATCTGTTTTCAACTTCGACGACATTGTTCTTCAAGGTATGCATCTTTATATTCTACACTTTTCAAACCGGGCAAACCCAAATCTCCCGAGTTGTTTAACCATGCATGTGAT